TAGAAAAACATTATTTTCATCGGAGTGGGTCTTTAACGGTTCTTTTGGAGATTTCAAAACATTGCTTGAGCTATCTCAACTTCTGTTCGAATCAATTTTGTTTGGGAACGATATTTAGACATTACATATGGTTGTGCTTATGACACACAGCACACAACACACCTCACCTTAAAAAGGGGGGGGGGGGGGGGGGGCAGACAGTTACCACACATCTAAATGTTGTGTAGAGTCAAGCAGTTTCACGACCAATCTCGAGTTCTGTCCATTTCTTTTGTTCTTTAATGGGTTCACCTTTGCAGAAGTAATATTTTACTTTAAATTCTTTAAAAAATATATTTTACACCAAAGATAAGCTTTAAATTAACATATTAAAAAGGTAGGTAATTAGGGTTGTTGATTTAGATCAATCCAGGTGTTATATGAATAATCTTGTTGATAATTCATATTTATTTTTTAGAAAGCAATGGAGAGTTTCCAACTGGCATTTTGCAGTTTCCCAAGCAGCTGTTCTGAGATGCTGGTGGCAAAATGAAATATATATATATTTCTACTTCATAAAACAAATCAGAAATGGCACACAGAACAGTGAAGAGATATTCAATTTGGATCCATCTTCAAAGGTCAGACAGAAATACTGTCTGGTGATTAAAAATTCAATGTCCACATGATTAAAATTCTGCCGAAGAGAGTTTAGGCCTTTCCTTTTTTGAGTATTGATGTAAAACAGAGAAACCTTTTCAGAAAAAACATAATGTCAAACTATAACACCAAACATCATAATGCACCTGTTCTATCAGCCATGGGCACCTGTCTTATGATGAAACACATCTGGCAAATTCATCCTGGCACAGAATCAACAAAATCTATCTCTGTCTCTTCCCTATTCCTGCCCTTTTCACAGTTATTAACTGGAAGCCTGCTGATGCAGCCAGAATCCGAGTGCAATGCCAATGGGTGGCTGTGAGAGACAGAAAACCAGTGTATTAGTATAAAAGTTGGTGAGAGGAAGCTATAAAGTACAGACGGATGCACCAAGCAGGGTTGTATGAGAAAAAGCAGTCATAGAATGAGTTGAAACCGATCATTCTCATTTTTTATGCACCCCACATCCTGATAAATATAATCAACCAATGATAACAGCACAACATTGTAACAATGACTCTTCAGCGTCAAGAATACCAACTGAGAAAAAAAAACTCTAAACTTAATGACTAGCATGTGATTGTATCTGTATTAAAATGAGACCAACCTGCATTATTTGGCTTGAAAGAGAAACCACTTACAGATGTTAAGAAAATCAACATCCAGGCCTTCTTTATACTCCAGACATTTACTGTTGACCGCAAGCTTTTCAGCACCAAAATGGCCGACCAACAATCCATCTTCTTCTTGTAAAGCATTAAATTCCCTAATTCTGGAATATCACCTGAAAACAAAAACAGTCTATTTATGCCCTCACTTATCTAAACGCACTGTGATAACCAGATTTAATTGCAAAACATTTTGGATTATGGTCTTGGTTTTCTGGAGACACACCTCAAAGAAAGAAGACTGTTGATGAGGACACTTGGAAAGTCACCTAACTTCCTCCTCCTAGACGAAAACATCCATTTCCATCTTAGGAACACAATGTCTTGGTTCTGGCTCTAAGTTTTAAAAGTTTAAAACGTATACAAGTAAAAACAAAACTTTGTAGTCCAATTATGGAGGCGCAAACTTTTCTTTAGCACATGCCGTTTGTAGTTCCAGACATTCTCTCCAATAGTGAAGCCATTAGAACATAAGTCAGATGCATCTTCGTTTGCGGTTAAGATAACAAAGACCCCTGAAGACACATGGTCATCTCTTGGCGCAAACAACTTCAAAAGTCCCGTCCAAAAAAATGAGGAACAATTCTTCCAGAATTGTTAAAAACGTTTCGTCACCTTTGCACTAGCTTCTTGCAAAGTAGAAGGTAGTTTTCTTTATAGATTTGTTTTTTAGCACTAAAGCTGAGCTCCTGCACTCTGGGTATTTTTGATTTCCTTTGCGCAATAGCTGAGCAAACAGACAAAGGGAGCTGCGATAAAACCCTGCCAAGTCTCGCCTGGGTTTTTTCTCTTCCATTCCTCTCCCTCTCCGTGCTCCCGCACTCCCAGCGTGGCAACTTTCCCGAGAAACCCTGGCGGAGCTCCAGCCTGTGTCTGCTCGTCTGGGCCCCCCTCCTCCCCCCGAAAAAGCGCCAATTTAGGCAAATTGATCAAAACGAATCTCAAATTAATTTCTCTTCTCTGCCATTCCCTGCCACCACCATCCAGATAGGGTCCCCTCCCCTCCTCACTCGCCAGATGCACAGACGTGAGGGGACATTGGAATGTCTGTCATCCCAATCTCCCCAGAGTCCCTGCACTTCCAACGTTCCTCGTTTGACTGCCCATCCGCTTCATCCGTTGTTAGCCACTGGCACTCGAGAGTTGCTCCGTGTTTCACCTACTCACTTTCAGATCTATCTTAGCAGGGAAAAGTCCTGCTGCCGTTCCTCTTTTCAGCGCGTGCCAAAACAGCACCTCCTGTGCTTCTACTGCCATTTTTGGGGACATGGCAGCGATGCTGTGCCAAAGCGGGACGGCCCTAAGGACACCCTCCCTAAAAAAATTCCTCACTTACATGGAAACCAAACCATGTATTCAAATGCACTACCACAAAACTGTTGTGATATTTAGCATGGCAAATGAACAACTAGAGGCTGTGAAAACAGTTGGTCTATATTGCACTGACAATCTATATTTCCTATTAAATATAATTTTAATATATACCAAATGTAATCTTTGCTGCTTTGGTTAGAATGAATGTTTAAGCAAAGACCACATGTATGATGTTCCATAGCACAACATCCCTATTAGAGAAGTATTTATTCTGTACTACTTAATCGACTATTAAAGCACTATTCCAATTTCACAATTAATTTTCTTTGCATCTTTTCCTGGGAACAATCAAATATACTTTTAAACTGACTCCAAGGTCAAAAACTTTGAAAAACTGATTTTTTTTTTTTTGGTGTTAATTAAACTGTCTAAAATACAAAGCACTTAAAAGTAGAAAAATAAATAAATGAAATATTCATGTATAGTAACAAATGTCTGTTATAATTTGCCTATCAGAAGTTAAATTGTGTGTAATTGTGGGTGACACTTAAAGGAAAAGTTCATCCAAAAAATGTACATTCTGACAACATTTGCCTTATGAACAAACAAATCACTGTTTTAAAATAAATATTAAAAAGCCATCAAGGGAGGGGATATTTGTATGTTAATAAAAAATAAAAAGTACAATCCCACTCCAAAAAGAAGTCCACACCAACTACATAACTTGAAAGAACGGAAGCAGTTCCCTGAGCACATGAGCCAAGCGCCCACAAAGTTTTTTTGTACGAGCTGCTCGTGTTCAAAGAGACATCGCACTGCCCTAAGCTCTGATCTCATTCTTCCATCTGTTCTGTGGTCTGTAACCTTCAACCAGGTTCATTACATCTTCAAAGCGAGACACGCGTGTGTCAGTGTTGCAGAGTGTTACCTGGCAACCTTCCAGCTCCGCGGTCGAGTCCCGTTGCCAAGGGGAAGCCTTGAGAGGCGAGCGCTGATGATCAGTTCACTGCAGTCTGAAGGGGTGGATCCCTGCACGGGCACGCTTCATGCCATTGCACAGAACGCCAATGTGAGTCGCATGTCAAGCAGCCTGCGGATGCTCCTGAGAGCGATGCATTGCAGACACAATATTATTATTATTATACGTATTAACTTCTAGGGCGATTTACAAAAATAACCTATCATCAGCTACTCTAAAGATTCCTTTCCAACCTAAGTCCACAGCTGTCCAATTTAAATGAATGCAAATGCAATATCTGCAAAAATGGGAAGGAAATGTCCACTTGGACCTGCTGCTGGGAAGAGGGGCCCAGGGCTGGAAGCCAGAAAATTGCTAGTTCGACCTCCAAAAGAAACATGCCTTGTTGTATCACTATTGTGCCCTTGAGCAAGACAAGTGATCTGCTCCAAAAGGGATGGTTTTCACAAAAATGAAAAGTCTGTTCTTGTTACTCCTACCCATATGCTGTTATTTTTTCAGTGGAACACACAGTGGATACATGATCCATTTTTTCAATTAAAAAAAAAGGTGGTTTATTTTTTGTATAAACTAACCTTTTGAACTCTCCCTTTAATAACTGCACCCACGTTATTCATTTCACTTTGGATAAAAGTGTGCTGAATAAATAACTACTTACTATTCTAACTAAATGTTTTCTTTTCCGATTAAATGATGTCACTTAAACGGTGTGATTTAGGATTCGTAGCAAGCCTCCTGTTCCCATCAGAGCTCTTCACTCTACTTGAAGCAGCATTTCCATTTTTATGTAAGAGCCTGAGTCAGCTGTTCTGTTCCACTGCAAGTGAGCTTTTTATTGCCCTTTACTGCCCTGTACTCTTGCCTCTGAGGAAAAAAATAATGAATATTTAATGCCAAGAGTGTTGGAGATATTACTCGGTAAAAAAAGACTTACTTTGAAAACATTTTGCTCCATCTAAATGGTAACGTACTCTGAAGTGAAAAATTGATAAAAAATGAAAAAGAGAAAAGGGGCTGAGTAAGATGTACTGATACTGCTAGGGCGTCACAAAACATATATTAATTGCCTATTGAGTACGGAAATGGGAGTAAATAAAGTCTCCAAATACCCGCTATCTGGATGTCAAGAATAAACCAAATTACTGTAGCACTAGTGCGCATGCGCTTCGCACAGATCCAGGAAAAACAAAACAAAGCCCCCGTTTCCTCGATCGCGCAGAAGACCCATCTCATAGATTTCTTTTTTGCACACGTAAGCTTATGCTGAAATTCCGTAACCTATACCATTGTATGTATCCCATAGCGAATTAAAACCTTACAGCGCTGCCTTTGTTTGACCGCTGATAGCCGCGTTAGCACATGAACTGAGAAAGTCAGAGAAATTCACAACGCCATACCTGAGACTTTCATGCTCTGCTCCCTTCCAGGCAGCGCTTCCTCCGGAGTTGGCATTCGCACTTTGGAGGACATATCTCCCATTCTACTTTGGATAAAATGACTCCAAACCAAACGCACGGAAGTCCGCGCGACCATGAGCACAAACACGCCGCACGCGATGCACTTGTGTAACGATTGCACAAGCGCGTGCTCGTTACTTAACTCTAATAAAGAAAATAAGTATGTTTATTAATCCAGTGCTAAAACGACTCAGAGTCACTGTGTGTTGGAAGATATCGCTTAGTGATCAAAAACAGCTTATGAGCTTGGAAAAGCTGTGTTCTTTTTAATAAAAAGTGGTAAAGCTGCTCGTTTGTGTTGGCACTTTTTTAAAAGATAGACTTATATACATATATATATATATATTGATGGCTCCGTGGTGACAATAATGTTTAATACTACAAATATAAAGTCTATTAATTAATGTGAGCTTATAAAATGCTAGTTTTAAATAAGTCACACCCATAGACTTTAAAACAATGGCCACACTTGCCAGGTTGTGAACAATTGAGCATCAACTTCACAACCTACTATTTTGTGTAGCCTGCCTACCCATATTGTATTTAATATTCAAAATGCTAATAATTATGTAATTTCTTTGTGCTTATCATTAGGCCTATGTGCTTGTGTCAGTTACTGGAAGTTTGTGATTTTTATGTGTAATAATCTATGGTAATAATGTCAAGTTCAAATTGAAAGTCAGTTCTCATCAGTTAAATGTCGGCGCATGCATTATAGCCATAGGTAGGGGGTTGCACACAAGTGGTGCGCATGCGCGACCAAAATAAAAATACGCTGGGTAAATAAATTCAGACCGCTCATTTGCGCACCGACATGGCTGACAGCTATTAATGCACATACACCGTTTAAGATCGACACTTTAATACTGTACAAGATTTCCATTTTAACTGAATGCATAAATCTGCCGGTTTCAGAGCAAAACGCAAAGCTTCGGCAGTGCTAAAAACCAAAACCAAAATGCCAGTAACGTTACTAAAGTACTGAAGTACTTCCTGGCAATCCGCCAAAATAAAAGCTGGCTGATTTAAGGTTCGAAAATGTTGAAAATTCATATAAAAAAAATGTAAATATCAGTATTGTATTTTTAAGTGTACTATAATTGTATTTTTTTTATTTAATACTAATTTAAAAAAATATACATCATAGTATTATCACTCTTTATTTTGTTTATTTTATTTAAAGAAAAAACTAACTAAATCAGAATCATATATTTGTCATTGTAAAACATTGTCACAACGAAATTTAAAGTGCAACTATGGTGCATAGAAGAATACATTCATACACTCTCAAAATTACAGTAGCCTACTGGAAAGTGCAAATGCAATGCAATGCAAAACAGGCAAGATAATCCTTCATCATGATAAGGTCCTATTTCTGTAAGTGAGTGTTTTTGACTCCACAGAGTTGTGATGGCTGTGGGGAAAAAGGGGGGGGGGGGGGGGGGGTGAAATAAAATAAAATGCAGTAATACTATTATTAATTATTTTAATTTTTTATAGTTATAAATTAATGGGTCACAGTCACACTATATGCAGTGTGAGCACCAAACCAAATCTCCAGGTGCTCTCTTGCCTATAGGCAAGTGTTTTTGTAGAAAATTAGTTACATTTCTTTTACATGATCATTTTATGTCAATTTAGGATGCATTAATAGACTTATAGAAAGGTGTTTAAATTTCAAATAATAGGCTACTGTATAGCCTAGCAAAATAATCTCATATCATAACACAAAAACAGAACATTGGATAGACATTTCTTTGTTTGAGATATTCCCGGGCCCTTGAAGGTGTCGTCTGTCTGCGAGCACTCAGAGACAGTGTCTTTATCCATGTGTCGTCAGCATAAGGGTGGATTGAAAAGCTTTACCATCTGGAGTTCACTGCGTGTCGAATGTGTTTGTTGGAGACACGCGTGCGGCAGACGACAGTCCTCAAAACTGCAACACAAGAGAGGATCAGGAGACCTCTGCTGACCTCAAAGCAAGAGCAGGGGCGGATACTAACCCCCACAATACACGCAATAGGTGGAATTCTGCAAAGTGCATGGATAATTCACATGATAGATAGATAGATAGATAGATAGATAGATAGATAGATAGATAGATAGATAGATAGATAGATAGATAGATAGATAGATAGATAGATAGATAGATAGATAGATAGATAGATAGATAGATAGATAGATGGATAGATGGATAGATGGATAGATAGATGGATAGATAGAACTACTCATATATAGTGAAATACAGGCCTGCGTAATAAACAAGACACGCTGTTGTAGTTGACTGGTTTACATCACTAACCAAATGAGAACTATCAGTGATTTGGAGTTGGTGTAAACGTTTTCGTGTACCAATAAAATGAGGAAAGGATGAAGATAAATCAGTGTTCGACAATAAATCAATGCGGCATGAGGGATGAGCGTGTATGGGGGATGGGACTCAACGCGCAGATGACAGGCCATATGGAGTCGGCCTTCATTTTTGGACACACTTTGATGAACTAATACTTTCAAAGGGTGTATCGCGGTGTTAACAAAATATTTATTTCACGTGAAATTGTTTACATCGAAGAACTAACAGTCAATGGTATTATTATGGCGCACGGTGACCTTATTTCTTCAAGAGACTTGTGGTGTATTTGCCAATACGCATTGCATTACATATTTGTGTTAAGATTAGAAGAAAAAAATCTAATCAAACTTAAAAATAAAAACGCATTTTTGTTGTTATTCATATAAACCAGTAAATCGTGCACTCAAACGGCACTTGTGCATCAAAAAAAATGTGAATAAAAAGAAAAATGTGAATTGTTTAGAATACACGACGATTAAATAAAACCGAGACGTGGCATCATGAAAAGTGCAGAAACTATTTTCCAAACGGCTAATGTTTAGTAAGCCGACAGATGCCACCTCTTTCCACCAGAGTATAATCCTCTCTGAAGGGAAGGGAACAGAGGAGCAGGACGGAGAGCTTCAGTGTGTGTGATAAACTGGGCTGCTCTCCTCCTCTCTGTCAGATCGCGCTCTGCATCACACCATTTCACATGATGACCGACTCTGCTTACGAGCACCGAAGCCTTCTGCTCTGGCTATTTGCTTCTAACATGCATTTTTCTGCTTTCCTTTTTTCGTTTATCATGAAGAAATTCGAGTGATGCAACTGTAATCGGGAATGATTTATGTCGCATCCAACAGCATCAAGGTGCGCAAAAGCGTGCGGAACATTTGATGATTTTTTTGAACGACGCTCCTCTGCACCGACTGCCTTGTGGACATTTCCCCAAACTGGATATATGGACAATTATTATCTCGAGGGATAAAAACCTGTTATTTATGTCCTGCTTCGCAAGGTGTATTTGTGTAAGTTTTGATGAAATCGATGTGCGATGTTATTTTTTAAACAAATTGTTAATGTCAATCAACTGCATCTGTTTTACTAAAGCATGTTTCTTTTTTCCTTCTTATAGCTCATATGATGGCAGACTGTAAATGCATTGAGGGTGCCACTGTATCGATATATGTCAGGCTATATTAATAGGTTCTTTGCTTTTTAGACTGAATGGATCGCCTAATTAAAATCCAATTTGCGGGGAATTTTCCTTTCGGTGTATATGGTGCAAGGTCGGCTTTTGACAATTGGTCCCCTCCACTTTTCCACCCAATATTTAGTTTACCCCCTCCTGATGCAGGTGCTTTCAACTGCCCCCACCTTTTAACATATACCCCGCCCGACCCCCCCCACACGAGGCGGCGGTGTCTCTAGTCCCACAGATTCCCCCTTCTTTCTTACCTCTGCTGCATTTTGCATGAGCTATCTAGGTCATTAGCATTTTAGCGTATGCAAGACTTGACAAAGCTGGTGAGGAGCCAGATGGGCCCTCTACTATTTTTTACATCTCATGGGAGTTGAGCAAGGGACCAACTGCATGCAGCACGCCACTCAGCGCCTTCTTTTTATTGCCATCACTCGGGCCTTATGTTGCACCAACACATGATGGGGAGATGCGCACCGTCCTGTGGAGATTACACACTCGTGCCATTCGAAAAAAAAAAAAAAAAAAAGGTAATGTAATAACTGGGAACGCTTGTTTGAATTATTATGTGTGTGTTGATGCACATACTTTAAGAATGCATGCTGCTCTGTGCAATGTTGGATGCTGATGCTACACCAGTCGGAGGAGGACGTAGACATTTTGGTGCAACATCGTTGCTGCATGGGATAGCTAGTTGTGCGATTCTCAACATTGTGGTTGAAAACAGGCCTGCTTTTCTTCGTGTTCACAGCGGACCTTGATTTAAATGTCCATACAATTAAGGCACGCGGTGAATGCCAAGAGAGATGGCAAATATCATCGATGAATGCTTTTTTAAAAACTGCACGACGCAGATAGTCCGTTCTTGCGATGCATGACAGTTATTATTTTCTTTCGCTCGTTTTTTTTTTGCGAGAGAGAGAGAGCTTGTGTGGAGGCGAACCGACGCATCAATGCGGCCAAACTGAGCTTTAATATTTCATTGCGTTCTTCCATAATTTTCTGCTGCGCAAAAGTGCGTATCCTTGAATATTATGAAGTGTCATTATGGGCTAGTTCAAAATTAAGAGTCCAAAACACTGACAGTTAACCTTGAGGTCTGATGAAACGTCCTTTTGTTTTTTTGTCTATTTAGAGAACGCTTTTAAAATCTATAAACGCCGCATTCAATAGTCTCATTTTCAGACATGTATATGGGACACTATGTCTTCGGGAGAAGATGAAGAATAATATGGTTAGACAAGTTGTGAGGCCTAAAATGACAACCAATTTAAACAGAACACACCACGAACCGTTCCGGATTTCTTGAATTTCTGACAGCGGGTCCTCAAAGTGACACTTGTCATGTGTCCTCATTCTAAAGACAGAAAATATTACGCATGTGCGTTTGTATTGTATCATTGATACTGTAAATCATTTTAGTTTGTCAATAAAATCTCATATTCACAAAGCAGACATTAATTTCTTTTCTTTTTCACGCAATATTTGCCACTTTGTGTTTCGATTTATCAGAACATAAACACTTTTTATCTCTGACTTTTTGTGACTGACATTATTTATTTTTTTTAACCAAATTTACAACAACAAAAA